CTTTAAATAGTTTTTTTTTTTTTTAAAGCTTGTGGATATTTCTTTTTTCATGTTAAAAAAATGATACTAACCTTTATTGACTAGGGCATTTCCCCTATAATTATAAAACAGATCATTTTACATTTATTGACAACAATATACTGCTAATTTTAGAATTTATACTGTACAAAGTAACATTAGTGAACATTCAATTTACTTTCAAAAAAGTCTGTTTTTTTTATTTGACATAGAAAAACTCATTTGCCACTGTTGAAGCAATTTTGTACCAAGGAGGTACAAAGACAGCATGTACAGGGTTAGGCACAGAATTCAATACTAACCTTAATCACAGTTTGCATAATTTATTTATTATTATGAAAAATATTGACCTACACTTACTTTGATATGTATTACAGTACGTTTTCACCATGAATGGGTTTGTAAAGCTGGAAACAAAAAGAGTTTTAACAGTGCATGCTGGGATGTCTGCTAGTTCAGCTTGTGAAACAATAAACAGAAGATATTTGTAAAATCATTATGAAATTATTATTTTAAGTCTTTTTTATATGTGGTAAATCACAACTACAGGATTTCCCTGTTATTTTAATTTAGTTTTTTTTTTTTTAACCATTTCCATGTTTGTTGGAAATACAGTTAAAATAAACAGGAAATCTGTAACATCAAGGTAATTCTTTTCCTTTTTAAGGAAATTTTCCGGTAAAACGAGCAACATGAAATAGTTTGCCATCTCTGGCTGCCGTATTTGCTGTAAGCAGTTCAAGAAACAGAGCTGCCACTTGAGAAGGTAAACTCTACTCTATTGTGCAGCAGGTGAAATATTTTATATTTTTCCAGCAGGATACGAGTTTTTTGTTTGTTTGTTTTTTTTGTTTTTGTTTTGTTTTATTAGGAGTCTGAACTTCTAAAAAACTGCTTTAAGTTTTGTCTGCAGGGGTTTTGAAACATATGAGAAAATCTGAATCAAAAACATTCATGCAAGTTGCAAATATAAAAACCTAGATCACATGAGAGCTAGAAACAGAGGCTTGTGTTGGTGCAAGTCTTGGTGTAGATACTATATGTTTTCTCTTGTGTTATTTTAACAGTATCTGTCCATTGCTGGATTCTCCTTTTCTTGATGTGAAGCAGTGTTTGAGTGTAAATCTGAACACACTCCGTCTGTTGGCTCTCTGTCAGACCTGAGTGACCAGAGGTTCTTTGAGGTATGAGTTGACTCCACTCTGATCACCAGCCTCCTGTCCTACACAGAGTCCTGTCAGAAGTGTCCCATTGAGAGGAGAGCAGAGGGGCCTGCTGTTCTGCCCGTACAAGGGTAGACTATCTCCCATGTTTTCAGCTCCTTCATCCATCCCGTCCTTGTCTTCCTCCTCTTCGTCGTCCTCTTGGTCCTTATCCCAGAGTGACATGGAGACGTGCTGGTATTCTGTGGTGTCCTCACACTCCATCTCTCGGTGGTAGAAATAACTGAAGTTGGACACAATGACCGGCACGGGCAAAGAGATGGTGAGCACGCCGGCAATGGCACACATGGATCCCACCAGCTTTCCCCCAACTGTTTCTGGGTACATGTCCCCATATCCGACCGTCGTCATGGATACCACTGCCCACCAGAAAGCCTCAGGGATGCTGGTGAATGATGTCTTAGGTCTGTCTACCTCTGCAAAGTAGACAGCACTAGAGAAGATTATGACGCCGATGAAGAGGAAGAAGATGAGCAGGGCTAGCTCTCTGAGGCTGGCCTTCAGGGTCTGGCCCAGGATTTGGAGGCCCTTGGAGTGACGAGAAAGCTTGAAGATCCTGAAGACCCTCACCAGCCTGATGACCCTGATGAGAGCCAGAGACACAGTTGGTTGGGCGCCTTTGTCCTTGGCCAGCTCCGTGCCGAGCGTGACAAAATAGGGAATGATGGCGAAAAAGTCGATGGTGTTCATGACGTCTTTGAAGAAGTGCAGCTTGCTTGGAGAGCAAGTGAAGCGCATGATGAGTTCAAAGGAGAACCAGAAGATGCAGATCGTCTCCACGATGAAGAAGGGGTCCTGGAAGGGATTGAAGCCAGGTGGGATCGAGATGGTCTCATTTGCTATGGTGGGGTGAGGTATGGTGGTGTATCGCTGTAAATCAAAGGAAAAGTGGTTACAGATCTGTTTTTATAAAATCAAAGCACATGAGTTGCTCTGCCTAACAGATGCCATTTATATTATTTACCTCATACTGTTTGCCAAACATGAGTTAAACATGAGAATACACAGGGAAAGCTAGCGCAATATTAAATAGCTCCATGGAGATAAGTGTAAACAGACAGAAAACAAGGATGGAGTAAATGGGGAGCACAGATGATTAGTGAGAAGTGATTGTTATGTAAGTTTGTCCTCAGCGCATTTGGAAAATTATGTCTGTCATCACAATCTGACCTGTGATACTGCGCTCACTTTTCTCTCCTCTCATTTTTCATTCCCCTGGCTTTATTTTTCCTAGTAGACTTTTATATAAATCACGTTCCCTATAATTAAACACACAAAAATCATTATGTCACCTGACTCTGGGTTTGATTACACCCCAGATGACAGCGCCATGGAAAGTTTTTATACCTCGTTTAACTTGCCCGCTTGTTTTTTGATTTTGTTTTTTTTTTCCTGATAAGTAAGTTCAGGTCTGACATGACTGCACATTAGTGTCTAATAACTAGTATAGGTTTTTATGTTTCTCTCAGTCCATCAGCATCATATTTGTGTTTGTTTGCAACTCTTTCTAAATGTAAGCCTAATATAAGACAGACACAGCTCAGGTTAGGATGTTTTTGCATCTTAAAAGGTCTGGTCACTCGGCTCACAAATATTCAATTTTGCATTTTTGCCACACAGATAATTTTGTTTTTCTTTGCTGATGCTTTGAAATCTACACCTCAGGCATTTCATGTCTGTGACAGTTCATGACTATAGCTTTTGTCACCCGTCACTTACACTGGAATTGAATTAGGAGGGGATCTTTCCTTGGCCAGGATACGATAAGAGTAACAAAGAACAGTTTTATTCTACACATAGACATGAGAGTGTTGTTTTAAGATGGACTCTAAAAATGTGACTTTCTTTTAAGGTGCCAACCCTGTAGTGTCCTCGAGTCAGAAACCTTTGTTTCCTGCTAATAAAGACATAAAAATGTCCAGAAAGAGCATAGTTCAAATGAAAACTGTTGACAATGGAGTCTATGGATTAACCAGAGTAATCTGATTCTGCTTTCCTGATATATAATTTTGGTACCGCAAACAACATTCACCTTGCCTCTGCTGTCTTGAGGTGGCACCTTAATACAGTAAATGGTGGAAAATAGAGACTAACTGGAACTAATATAGAAAACAGTATTTTTGTGATTTGAAATTGCTGACTGGCCATAATCCTACACCAGCTGTCCACAGGATATTTTTCAGCATACTATGACCTGGATGACTGAGAATTTGCGCATACATTTGCCATTGTGTTTATAACTTTTGCCATGAGGGCGAAATGTCCGTAAAGCATGCCAGTGTGATGTGTGTTGCTGGTAAGTCCTGCATTTCAAATGTTAAGTAAAAGTATTATCAGAAAATATACTTAAAGTAGCAAAATTAAAAGTACTCATTATGCAAAATAGCACAATTTATATTGACATGCATCATATTATTCAGTTATAATTATTGATGTATTATGGTGTACAACACATTTCATGTTGCAGGTGGTAAAGGTAGAGCTAATTTTAACTACCTTATATAATTTGAAGTACTGCTGGGTAGCTTGTGAGTTTTACACCAAGGATCAATAAATCTTGTGATTATACTGTATTTTAGTTTATAAACCTCTTTCTGAAGAGTAACTAGTAGCTAAAAGTTACCAAATACATGTAGTAAGTACAATATTGTTCTCTGAAATGTAATGAAGTCAAAGTATGAAGTAGAAAAGGGAAATACAGAATAGTGTTGGTGGTGATGGGGAGCATAAACCCAGCAAGTGCCTCTCCTGTCTGAACCTCCAGGGTACCAGAGAGTATGTGAAGCTAATTTCATTTTGTGATGATCATCAGAAAAGTTGATCTGCAGGCGTTTTTTCCATGCCGTTTTCAGTGTGGCACCATGAGTCATAGTGTTTATTAATACAGACGTTTGTTAATGTGTTGATCTGTCCCTAGGTTTGGTCTTTCCTCTATATATAGCTTTTTAGATTTCTAGATGGTAACGTGAGACAAGCTTGCCTACTTTGCTTGCCTTCACATTTGTCTCTCTACCTCTAACTCCTTCCTCTCTTCCAAGTACTTCTGAAGTATCTACTTCATGTAAACGCACTTGTTGGCTGATGAGGCATAGCATCTCCACAGCGTGTCCCTCCTCTAACAGTAAATCTCTGTCTGCCTGTCCTCTTTCCTTGCTCTTGTTTAATTTCATTTAACCTGCTTCTTGTTTGTTCCTTGATTAGATCTTACAAGTCCAAAATAAGCTAAGGAAAATCTCTCCCTTGCCTTCTCTTTGTCTCCTGCCTATGCTTGTTCACTTCTTACTTGATTCTGAACTTTGATGGGTTTATTCTAGTCAACCTTTAGTTTTAGTCTTCATTTACACCCCAGTGTTGATAGATAAAAGCATTTTCACCTCGTGTTGTAGGAGCTGGTTTATGTTTGAGAAGGTAACGCCTGTCAGCACCTGTTCTTGTATGTTCACCTTGTAATTTCCTCGCAGGGTTAACCTCTGTTACTCTGCTTGTCTGTTCCTTCACTTATCTAATTGTTCAGTTCCTTTACATGAATTCCCACTGATGTAAAGTGCAGCCTTGTGAATCCTTTCTGTTCCTTCCTATTACTCTCAGTAAGTGGCTCTTGTATGTGTGAGCACCATGTAACCCATCCTCACCTCCCTCTGTTCCTTCTCATGCCTGAACTCAGGCAGAGTTTCCAGGCAGAAGATGAGAATGGAGACCACAATGACCATGACGCTGATGATGGCGATGATCCGAGCGCCACTGGAGGACTCAGGATACTCAAACAGCATCCAGAGGCGACGCTGTAACTCATTGGTGGGTAAGGGTCTCTCCTCCTCCTTGGAGAAGCCTTCGTCCTCCTTGAAGCGATCCATGATCTCCTCTCCTAGCTCATAGAACCGCAGCTCCTCCATGAATATGTCCAGGGGGACGTTGGCGGGCCTTCGCAGCCTCCCACCTGACTGGTAGAAGTAAAGGATGGCATCAAAGCAAACACGGCTCCTGTCGAGGAAGAGTTCATTCCTAACGGGGTCAAAGTAACGAAGTCGACGTTGGGGGTCGCCTAGCAGGGAGTCGGGAAACTGAGCGAGGGTGCGGAGCTGGGTCTCGTAACGCATCCCTGACACGTTGATGGCTAGGCGTTCGGTCAGAGCCCAGCCACTCCTCCACTGACTGCGACGCTTCTCCCTTCTGGCCTCTCTGCTCGGCTCTTTCTCACCGCTCTCCTTTGCCAGCTTGTTGTGCTTGTCTTTGGTCTGCTTGTCTTCATCACCAACCTCCTTAGCTTTCTGTTTTTCTGTATTCTCTCCTTCCCCGGCACCTCCTCCCTTGTCTTGGTTGTCCATCTGTAAGACTGTTTTTTTCTTTCTTGTTTTACTGTTTGTCTGTTTGCTCTGAAGAATAAAAATGTGCTAAAACTGAAAAAGTAAGAAAAGTGATACAGTGATAAATGATAATGCTCACTTCTTTTTAAAATCTTTTGTGCAAAATAATATAATATTTGATTGAAGGCCACTGTAAATTGTTGTTTTGTTGTTTAATTTAGCCAAACATCCATCAGCCATGTACATAGATAGTATCCTAACAATACACCATTATTAAATATACATATGTACACTAACAGCCAAATGTTTGGACATTGAATTGAATGGTAAAGTTTGTCCAAACTACTGTAATCTAATACAACAGTCCTGCAATGAATCATACCTTAATAAAGTTTGTAGTGGCACTGTTGATTCAGCTGTAGGGTATTTCTTTTCTTTTGTCCACCCCATCTATGCCAACAATGCTAAATAACAGAAGTACCTCTCTGCATAATGCAGTACAGTTCAACAGCACCACAAACTACATCCTCCACACTGACATATACTAAACTGGTATGTGAAAATCAAGATCGCACCTCAGTTTTTGCTGTGAATTCAGTTGATCAGTTTTCTGGAAAACAGAAAGATATTTCATCAGGTTGGTTCCTTTACATTACAGTACATTTTAGAAATCAGAAAGTACATAATGATGGTAAGTGTAAGTAGAAATATGTTGGGTTGAATATGATTAAACACTGACCATGCAGTTTAAAACAAGCAGAATTTATATCAGTATTTTGGGATGTTTTAGTCAATTCTTCAGAACACTCCTTGTGCATTTTTTTCAGCCATTCCCCACCATTTCCTGCTGTATTTTAAATCAAATTATGCAAACACATCATGCAAAAATCTCTGCCAGCTTCATGCTCATCATTACTTTATCACCATATCCAGAAATCCCAAATCCTCTCACCGGTTTCCCTGCCAGAGCCGACTAACTAATAACCCCTCTGGGGAGACCATGGTTTTCCTACTGCACCTCCACCTCAGGGTGCCTTTCGGGGGTGACTCTTCTCTCTTTCTGAAACAGTTTGTGCATCAGCTCCCTTGTTATGATGTCTAGACAACCCCTCCTCCTTCTTCTCCTCCTACTCCATATCGTTCCACTTTCATGTATCATGTTTGGGAGGGGAGGGTTAGGGGCACAGGGAGCAGGACTGTTGCTCCTTCAGGAGCTGCTGTGGTGGTAATCTGCACCCTGGGTGACGTTTGTAGGTCACTCTCTGCCTTTACTTGCTCCCTTGTGCCCTCTCTCATGCTCAGTATGGCTACAGGGAATGCTGCTGGGCTGAAATTCAATCTTTGACCATTTCTTCATCCATGCACACCATGCCTCCACTCCCCTCTTTCTGCCCCCAGCAACCTTCCTGTTTGAAAATGTCAACCTTTTAACCATCTATTCATTCTTAAAGAGCCCGTGGCTGCTCATTTTGCTCATTTCCAGCCATTTAATGTTTAATCTTGGGTACCTCTAGCTTTGCACCCCTCATAACTCCAAATAGTCTGTAATTATTCCAGAATGATAAAACCAGAGACCCTAAAGTACTGGAACATACACACACCTCGTTTTTTGAGCTTTAGGTCACGACATGATAATTCACCATTGTGACATTGTAGACAAGTCAGAAAACAAGGAAAAGCACACCACTGGCTCTTTAAACATACTATACCCTACATGTTTGCATGCACAACTTCAGCAAAAGCCAAAACAACTATGTGAAAAAACAGAAAAGCTATGGTATTGATATGATTTGCACTCTGTGATGAGACCACAAAGATGTTATGAATAGATAGTTTTTTCTTGGTTTCTGTCTCCATGTCACCTCTGACTGCTTTCAGTTTCTCTATCATCATCTATTTTAAATTAAACATAAATATGACTGTGGTTTGTGCAGATTCCTGGCAGATGAGTCCTTATTTTATGTTTCTATTTGAATCTGGATGTCTGTTTTAGACACAGCATGAGGTCTACAGTCAGGTATCTTTGTGTGGCACTGTGTCTGTGCTGTAAAACTACAATTCCCTTAACAGCCTTCTGCGTCTTTGCTTATGTTGCATTTACATAATGCAAGTAAGTTGCATCTTCTGAGACTCACCAAGACAGCTTTTTTTGTATTTTTAAACAGTGTTCAATTTCTTCTTCTACCACTTTTAGAAAGATGTTTGAGCTGCAGTCCTGCAACGGATGTCTTATTTTGCAACCATAAAAGTTTCTACAATGCTGTGTTAATAGAATTTTAACTTTCTCTATTAAATAAAGTTCGATTAAATTGCCATTTTCCAGTTCCCCACTTTAGTGAAACTTCTTTGGTGAATTTTGTGATTTCCAATTATCCCGACTGCCGCTGAAAGTAGCAGTGCAAACCTCGTGTTTTTCGTGGAACTTCACCCTCAGACCACAAACTCACATGACTGGAGAAGCGGAAGACCTGCTAGAAAGCTGTGGAAAATGAAAGCAAATGAAGTAAAATTATAATCATTGTTCTGTTGTCAGCGGGTAAGGCTGTACGCGGCGCAGCTTTGCATCGTTTAACGACCAGATTTATATCTGTATCAGACGGAATGGCCCTCCGCTACCAAAACAAAGTTGCTATCGTCACTGGAGGATCCAAAGGGATTGGCAGAGGGGTTGTCAAAGTGTTTGGTATGACACTAAGTTTTATTTTTGGTGGGGATTTGGTTGATCAAAGCAAGAAGTGCTAAACATTTTGCATGTATCTTCTTCTTTTAGTGCAGAATGGTGCCACGGTGGTGTTTTGTGCAAGAGGAGGTTAGTAATAAGGTTTTTATTCTGCTTGGCAAAATGTTTAACAACAACATTACTGTGCCACCTGTTGGGAGTGGTGTATTTGGTTCATAGGACGTTTAATTGATGAGCACACCATGCGCATGTTGTAACTGAATGCTGTACGAGATTTAAGCCTAAATGTGATATACTTTATTTCACCATTTACTACTACTGTAGGTGCTGCAGGTGAAGCTCTAGAGGCAGAGCTAAACAAAGAAGGGCCAGGATCATGCAAATTTGTCACATGTGACATCTCCAAGGAGGATGATATCAAGGTGAGGTGCAAGTGCCACTGTTCTGGTTAAAGACTGCTATACATAGATTAACAATTCCTTTATGAAACGGGCAAAGTCTAGTCATCACAAGACCGGAAACTCACACTGTGTTGTGTGCTTCACAAATAAATAAAAAAAAGGGAAGAGCAGACAACTTAAGCAACATCATACATTTAAAAAGAGGTAAAATCATAATCAGTTAAATAAAAGTAAATGATTCATAGTAAACTAAATCCTCATCAGAGTGCTTCCTTTTGCTGCTTTTTTTTTTGTTGGTAACTTGTTTCTCTGGCCTGCTTCTTCTTTTTCACATGCCACTTGTGTGACTGTCTCTCTACAGAAATTGATTACAGTCACAGTGGAGCTTTATGGACACATCGACTGTCTGGTCAACAATGCAGGGTGGCGTGAGTCTCACACATGCTTTTGTTTGTTTGTTTCTGCATCAGAAGAAATGATGAGGTCATTTAGGATGATTCTGGCTATTAAGTTCTCTCTTTGTTTTTGAAACATCTCTGCTCAGACCCGCCTCCTAAACCTACTGACGACACCACAGCAGAGGAGTTCAGAGAGCTGCTCAGTCTGAACCTCATCAGCTACTTCTTGGCTTCTAAAGTAATGTTTCCAACTTGTGTGTGCACAGGCAAAATGCAAATGGTTGATTTATTATTATCAGGTCAGAGTTTTTGCAGCTTACTCTAGTGGTTATGTAGTTTCCATTTGTTGTATTTTATTTGGACACACTGAACACTTAAATGTTCTTGATGTTAACTTGAGTTTTCAAACTGAATTTGTGGACCTAAAATTTCAAACTTGAAATGAGTTGGAAGCTTTAAACAGTGGAATTCATGAAGTCAAACAGATGAGATTTTCAGTCAAATATTTAACTCCCAACATAAAATATTCAGTCCTTATCAGTTGCTTGTAAAATGCAAATTGTTAGGACCTTTCTTTTGCTCACAGAGAGGTCTCCTATACACCAGGATTAGCACATTAATCATACATACCCTAATGTGGATCTTTGTATTAATTGAGGTCTCTCTCTGCCTGTGCAGTATGCGCTGCCATACCTGCGACAGCGTCAAGGAAACATCATTAATGTGTCCAGTCTTGTGGGCACCATCGGGCAGAAAGATGCTGCTCCTTATGTCGCCACCAAGGTGACTTCATTGCCAGAGCAACATGTTCACACTGCATCATTTCTTATATCTCAACTGAAGAAAAAAATTAAGTCCTGTAATGTGATCATTTGTCCACAAGGGGGCGATCATTTCCATGACAAAGGCGATGGCTGTGGATGAGAGTCGTTACAATGTCAGAGTCAACTGGTGAGCCCATCTGGTTTATCCGCCTTCCTGTCTCATGCAGTTTCATTTACTACGATTTCATCCACTAGAATGAACCCAAAGGAGACAATATATACAAATTTACTGAAGTAAAAGTACCAGTAGAACAGTATTAAAATTATCCATTATTAAAGTCCTCTATTGAGAATCCTACTGTAGTAAAATTTACATTTTAAAGTAACATTTTGCTGTTGTAACTCCAGAGGATTAGTGAGGGAAAAAGTTAGACACTGTTATTTTATAAGGGATCACAAGCCATATAAGTGTAATCTTTAACAATCCATTGCATTTAATAAACTTGTCATATGTTTTAAGGAAAAATACAAGCATCAGAAATTGTAGTTGGTGCTTGAGTAAACATACTTAGCTGCTTTCCACCAGTGCTTGTTGATGTTAAATAACAAAATTTGACAGTGAAACCCAAATTTGTCTTAAATTTTTTTTTACTTTGTGTGACAAACTGTGGAAAACATTGGTTTAAAATGATTTAAAACCGAGAAAAACAGTCATGATCTCAGTATGAAGAGACTGACCAATATGCTTTGTTTACAGCAGTATTTAACAGATGCAATGTGAGGAAAGAAAAGCACTTTAGCAAAAATGGCTAACTATTGCTTATTTGAATTGTCACTGATCAGTTGACTTATTTATTCATTAACCATCTTAGCATTAGTCTGTAAGAGAAAAAGTCTATAAACCAGGAGATCTACAGCCATTTTAAAAGACAGTAGAGTTATTACAAAAAAGACAGAGGCATTGTTGCAGTTTCACGCAAAATGAAACAAAACTTTTTTGAGATTTCTTTTCTTTTTAGTAATTCTACTCATACAATTATATGAATGGTAGAAATATTATCTACAAGCATTTAATTGTCTACAAATTCTACTTATTTGCCTGATAATACCGTCTCTCATGTGTTGCAGCATGTCTCCAGGTAATGTGATGACACCTTTATGGGAAGAATTAGCAGGGTGGACCCCAGATGCTGCAGCTGCCATTAAAATGGGAGAAGATGCTCAGGCAAGTTCTCACACAGAGGGACACACAAGCCTAGGAAAACGGGGAACAACAAAGTGATAATATTTTTTGTATTTTGGGGGTGTTGTCATCTGCTGACCTGTGGCAGTACATCCTCAGTAACAGTAAAATTTCCACAGTAGTAAAATGTTAATAGTAATAATAATAATTAAAACTTCAATAATTCTGAGAAGTGTAACAAATCCGGGCAGTCCAATAATAAAGGCTTTGTATTTAACAGATACAATGTGAGGAAAGAAAAGGCAGCACAATCATTTAGGTGTTTAGGTCTGTGTTGAGCAGCCAGACTGTAACGACTGCATGTTTCATTCTAATCACTGTGGAGCCACCTTGGGTTTCTGCACCACTGTCATGTTAATGATTCAAACAGCGTCTGTCTATGAGGTTGTCAGTGGTAACACCTTCATTCTTTTATCTAAACAGCAGTTTCAACAAGAGACTGCTGTTGCCATTCAGATTAGAGCTTTCCTTTCATCCCAGCCAGAAAAGCCACGCAGAGCTGACACAGTAAAGAGGAGAAACTAGACTGTGCTCCCAGTCTCAGCTTGCACTTCATTATTCATTATGGAAGCATGGGAGAAGGACGGTTAAAAATATTTGACTGGACAGTGTAACAAATAGCAATTATGTAAGATTTCGTATTTTATTGTGTTTTTCTGTAGAAAAGAGAAAGGAACAGAGGCCTCTGTACCTAACAAATATTTAGGATTCAAACTGCATTTTATAACAGCAGCAGGGGTATACAAACACAAATAAATACAAGAACGTTACAGAGTGAAAACCACTAATTTGTGGTTTTGGAAACTGAACGAATGAGAATGACATGTTTTCTTCTCATACAGCTGATGGGCCGCATGGGGACTGAGGCGGAGTGTGGACTGGCTGCCCTATATCTCGCTGCTGATGCTACTTTCTGCACCGGGATTGACCTGCTGATCAGCGGAGGAGCTGAACTCAACTATGGCTTCAAAAGTCAGATCCCGTCCTGACCCGCTGGGCCTCCACAGTCTCTTCATGGTTACAGAACACACTGTTTAACAGATTAATTTGATTAATTCAAAATGTTAAAGGCTCTATTCTATTATAAAGCCACGTCCGGTTCTTTCAAACCAGGAACTCAGTGAGACGAAGCGGACCACTTGAGTATATAAAAAATATAACCGTTAAAGGCTAAAAACCATTATAAAGCCTCATCCGGTTCTTTCAAACCAGGAACTCAGAGGGACGACTCAGACCACTTGAGTATATAAAAAATATAACCGTGCTGGTTTATTCAAAGGGTCACAAGCAAGAATTAACATTACACGTCCAGGCATCTTCCACCCCCAAAACTGCGCGCAGGCAGCCCGGAAGATGAAAAGACCTTGTTGTGTTTTCAGTTCATTTTTCCCTGGAGTACTCAGCTCTGTAGTTTACCCTTGAGGGGGTGGCTTGGTGGGGGTCACTCACCTCTCGAAATGCTAGGTAGCTTCATCTGGGGAAACTGGGACATTGATTTAGTTCGACACGATTTTGGTCGTGTCGAAAGGGGGAATTGTTAGGTTATTTCTTAGTTAGATAGATATGGATTAGAGATTTGTTGTCTAGGAATGTTAGTGCAGCCAGGATGTCTTCCTCAGGCTGTTAAATGCAAGGTTTGTTAAGGCAGAAGGGCTCAAGTCAGGGATGAATGTTATTATGACGGTAAAAGTAACCATAATATTTGTCTTAATGTGTAATGTTATGTCAAATTGTTTTAGATACACACCACGAAAACAACAGCCACACACATTATTTTCTTCATGTTTGGTCTACTGCTCTGCTCAGGCAGCTGCAAGGCTTGCTTATCAGGTGACGTCACGGTTCGACAGCCCAGAAAGGATTAATATTGTATAGCAATGCTTGGTTCGGGGTCTTCCTGCTTCCGGGCTGCTTTGGCAGGCTGGGGGTTTGGAAGATCTCTGGACTGGAAGTGTGGATTCTTGCCTGTGACTTTTTGAATAAACCAGCACGGATATATTTTTTATATACTCAAGTGGTCTGAGTCGTCCCTCTGAGTTCCTGGTTTGAAAGAACCGGATGAGGCTTTATAATGGTTTTCAGCCTATACTGGCTACACTAACATTTTCTAATACAACAGATCTCTAATCAATATCTATCTAACTAAGAAATTACCTAACAATGTATATTGTGACGATCCATGTCAGCCATTGGGGGGTCTGGTGGCAGCTGCATGATGCAGAGGTGCATCATGAGAGCTCAGTAAATAGTAGAGAGAGCAGTTATAAAATTATAGTTAAAGTGTTCTTATGTGCTACCCCATTGTTGTTATGTGTTAGTGTTGCTGACTTATGCTGGTGTGTTATCTGACGATGTTTTACTAAGTTAATTGCTGTGCTGTGTTTTGGACCTTCAGTTTGGCTTGTATGTGTGAGACTGACCCTGGGGGAAGTGCCATTATTCAGCGGTTCTAAATAAATGACGGAGAAAACAGTGTTGTATTGTGATCATTGTAAAAAGACACGCCCAGGCGATATCCAGAGTCGTGCGGTGTATGGGGCCTGGAATAATCATAGGTGCTAGCGCCCTGCTAGCTAGTTTAGCTGTACCGGTGTACCTGGTCTCTCTCCTCCACGCCAGGGGTCATTACAATATGTTTAGGTCTGCTGGTTGTGTTATGAGTACAAAATGATTTGACTACCAGGAGGATTTTCATTCATTTAGCTCAACGCTGCTGTGTAACACAACCTGGTACACCCCGCGCCGCAGCGTCCGCTTTGACCTCTAATAACCCCCACTGTGCGCCTGCTGGTTGTTTCCTCCAATGGGATGCGACGCTTCTGTCACGCCTCCGGTGACTTTATGTGTGATACTCGACTGATTCAATAAAAACGGTCACTATAAAAAGACAGCTAACATGTTTTACTGTAATAATTGTTGTGGCTCGTTTATTCACTAACGTTCTTATGAAAACAGCCCAGGTTAACGTCATTAAAAAATTAAAACTGATTCGCACGGTACCCACAAGTGGTTTAAAACCAAACTAAGGTCATAAGACTATGAGTATGTCTTAACCTGAGCTCCGCAACGGATTGGACATCTGAAGGCGGAACTCAAGTTGGATTTGACCTGAGCGTTTGTTTCTGCACGAACAAATCTCATTTATCATCGCCTCGCAGCGGAGATGGCAGTCCTCCCGGCGGTGAGTTCATTGGCTGATGTCTGTGTTATTATCTCTTTATATCGAGTGTCCCGGTAAATGATTCACCTAAATAAGCGATGTGTCGAGAGAGGCGTCGTTAAAACCGGCTGCTCCACGCGGACTGACGTGTCTGTCCCAGCAGCACCGAGGTTGGCAACGGCAACGTGGAAGTGACATTACACCAAATCTCATTGACAAAGCCGTAAATTAAATAACTCTTTCTTATCGCAAAAACTAGACACTAGATCATAAAACGTCGATCCGTATCCTCTAAAATCCTGAAATTCGGCAAAGTCAACAAATGAGATCTGTAATTTATGCTTTTTAAAATTATGTTACCGCTCTGCGGTGAATGGCACTAGACATTACAAACCAATTAGACATTTTTAACGTGTCACTGGTGGATTAACAATAATATATTTTCTTTATACCGGAATGACTATGGGTTTACTTGTATGCTGGGGTACTTTGCCAGTGTTTGTGCTACGCAATTATCAAGTCTTCGTTAAATTGCAAACATTTCTAATGGAGCTTGGCGTGGGGCTAGAAGGCAGTATCCATTTCTGCAGGAACGAGGCTTTTTAGGTTGGCGATTCATTCCCTCAGGGATATGGCACGTTTATGTTATAGCCCACTATTATACGACGTGTTTCGTTTTTATTAATACAGTATTTATTGTGGTAATACAGTATAAAACTGCTGGTAGTATTTGATAATTCAGGTGTACTTTAATTCCAGACTGTGGGTCCCATGTGAACAAAAATAGGATAATATTTTGTGCATCAGATTAATATATGCATATTGCAAACGTTACTACGGTTAAATAGTAGGTATACTTGCACATAACGTTATTCGTGATTGCAATAAAAGCAAAACTTGCATCACTCATTCAGAATGCACATATGGATTTCACATTACCAAGAGCACAACCTGTTTTAGATGTATTCAACTACCCGGATAGTTCAAATATACAAGTTAAATAAGAATTAATATAGTCCTAACTCCACATTAACATGAAGTGATGATGACTGGGTTAGTCTGCATTAGTTTTAACTAGGTGTACCTAATTATCTGTCAGCTGAGGGTGTGTAAGTTAGATTTCCACAATGACTGTGCTGTTTTGTAAAAAGGTGGTCATGCTTCATTTGCAGGCACTTCATGGACGACTGGTTCAAGCCCTCCCCTTTTGTTTTGGGTCACTGCGGTTTGCCAGCTCCTTCAAGGTAATGAGGGAACGGTTATGTTTACTTTCTCTCTGGGCAAGGCCTGTGTACATGTCTGGTGTTTTATCTATTTATTATTAATTCTGTCTTATCTGGGGCACTCCACTGAACTGGAGCCAAATTCCTTGTATTTTAATATACTTGGCAGTAAAGATTATGGTGATGATATGGACAGAAGGAAGTGGTATTGTTTTAACAGAGGGAATTGGTCTCTTTGACTTTAGCTTGGACACGTTGCCTAGAATTTAAAGATTATGCCTGCCCCCTATCCACCCTCTCTCTCTCTCTCCCTCACTGTCTGTCTGCTGTAATTATTTAATTCAGTTTAACTGAACTTAATTGTCTAATTTACCAGACAAGTCAGCACTCTGACTGACTCTGTGTAATACTGCTCTAATTGCCCTTTTAAAGCATGCTCCATAAATAACAATTTGAAAAGAATCACTGTATTCGCCGCTCGCTCTGCTCTTCGTCTGCTTCTCTTCCTCTGCCTGTCCCTGGCCGTCTTGTCTGTTTCCATCTCAGGCAGCAGACCTCGCCATCGAACACAACACAGCATGCAAGCCAAAGCCCGACCCTTCCACCCTGTTGTTTGGCAAACAGTTCTCCGACCACATGTTGACCATCAACTGGTCGGAGAAGGGCGGCTGGGAGGCTCCTCAGATCAAACCTTTCCAGAATCTGTCGCTGCACCCTGCCACCTCTGCCCTGCACTACTCCGTAGAGGTAAGGAAACAGTGCTGCATTAGGTCTTGTAAAGCAACAAATGAGTTTCCTAAAACACTGTGGGATTATCACATGAATACATAAAATAGGTAAAGGCCAGTCATTCACAGGTTTACAACACTATTTGCTGTTGTTAATATAACCTTCATTGTATCAGCCAACAGATATGAACTGTCTGATATTTAGAACTTAATTCAAAACATAATTACAGGGCTCTATACAGTACATTAGTGCAGCATATTGGTGGAACGTGTCCAGCTCAAACAAAGTCATGTGCGTTTCCATTCACCTTCTGTGCAGCTGTTCGAAGGCATGAAGGCATTTCGTGGAGCTGACAACCACATTCGTCTGTTCAGACCCATGCTGAACATGGAGAGGATGCATCGCGGCGCTGAGAGATGCTGCCTTCCTGTGAGTTTGTACCCACACCTGCTGCATTTGGATTGAAGATGATATTTGTTTTGGTTACGCTGTCTTGGCAGATCATCAGATAGCGTTTGACTTTCAAAGGGTTCATAGCACATGGTGAAGCACACAGTTCTTTGCTCTGTGCTACAGAGATGGAAAGCATTTTTAATCTAGGGACAGTCATTTTTCAAGCCAAAAAAAAATCAGTGTTTACTGTTTCCAGCTTCTGATATGGACTAATCTGTTGATTCTTCTTGTTTGTCAGTGCAGTAAATGTTTGGGGATTTTTGTTTGAACAAAAAAGAAGTGCAATGGTGTCATGCTGAGAAGAGAATTTAGTTTGATTTAAAATGGTAAAATGATGCCATAAGAAAACATTCGGACTCTTTATGTACTGCATGCTCATTTCATTACTTTATATTTATCCTTTTATATCAGTCTTTGATAAGCATAGATACAATTTATATATTTCTACATAAATACATGTTGACCGTTATGATTATCTGGTTTGTTTCAAGAACAAGTGGGAAAAAAACATGTATTACATGACATAAATAGTAATGTGGTGAAAAGGAGTCACAAGGTGACGTTCTTGTCTTTTGCCTTTGCAGTTGTTTGATAAAGGTGAGATGCTGGAGTGCATCAGGAGGCTGGTGGAGGTTGACAAGGAGTGGGTTCCCTACTCCCAGAACGCCAGTCTTTACATCAGACCCACCTTTATAGGAACTGAGGTGAGCCCCGTCACTTAACAAGATGCTTGTAAACTTAAACATTTTAAATTGTAGTTGAGCTTGAACGTTTCATTTGCTCCAAATGACATCTGCAGGCTCTCACCTCAGCTCAACTACTCTCCTTCCTCATAAAGCAGTTGTGTTGAAACTGTGCCAGTTGTGATGTCACAGCGGGGCTGAACTCGGATGCATGAGGATAAGCCCACTCGAGCTGTGTCAAACACTCCAGCATTTTCTGTTTACTGCCATACAAATTGACTTTCTGCTCCTGATTACTTGTCTCCCACCCACACCCGCCATGCAGCCGTCCCTCGGAGTGTCTCGGTCAGGAAAAGCCATGATCTTTGTCATCGTCGGCCCTGTGGGACCATACTTTGCCACAGGGTCCTTCAACCCAGTTTCTCTACTTGCGGACCCTTCGTATCTCAGAGCCTGGAAGGGAGGAGTGGGGGCCTATAAGATGGGAGGGTGAGTTTGGTATTTTTCCTCATGAAAGTCCAGTATAGCTGCACAGTACAGATACTGTTTACTGTAATAATAAGTAAAGTGATCCTTCTGATCAAAAGCACTCCATCCATAGATGTGGTAGTCATGTGGTAAACTTAATGGACCTCAGACAAGAACTTAGTTTTCTTATGCTAAACGTCTGTTCTGAGGGGCCTTGCTTATTTCAACCTGATGAACCTCCTGCTGATCATTAGTCTAATCAACACCCACATACTGCCACGTCTGTTCTGTTGTTGCAAAAATAAAAATACCACAGAGCTTCAAGTCCTGCTGTCAGAAATCAGCAAAGACATAACAAATTTAGTTACTTAGCTTAGGGAGTAATCTTATTAGCAGGACCAAAAGTTCCTAGGTCCAGATGTGATCCAAAGTTTCCCAATTAAAGCAGTATATCAGTAAAATTCATAGATTTGTATAGGGGTAATAGATTTGGCTCTGAAGTGCTTCACGCCACAGCTGTGCTTTATTCAGTTGAGGATCTGGAAAATCCGGATTTTCTGCTTTGCTTTGCTTTAGAGATGTAGATAGGCAGCTACAGACATGCCGTGTGTACAGTGTTCTTTTCAACAGAGAAGGCTATTACAGAGCCCTGTAGCTTTTGCTCTACAGACACCGTCGGTGCACCTTTAATCTCCCTTTTTTCCGCTCTGCCTCTAATCACAGGCCCGCCTCCACATGATACTGGTATGCTAAAGCAGCACCTGACCAGCGCCAGTGTGATTACATAACACTACTGAACACCCGTGTAACTCACTAAGCCAACAAAATCTGTTCTCGGACAGCAAGGACACAGATCAGCTCTCAAGCCTGATTTAGCACCAGTGGCCATGGGACTCCAGGCTAATCACTGTGTTTATAATTGCTATGTTATCATTATTATTTAGTTTGTGTGTGAAAGCTTCCCTTCCTATTCTTTGATGGCTTTATGTTCAAACATTACCCTAATACCCAAGGACATTTCTAAATTCTCTATTTTTGAAAATCCAGCCAGTATGAAGCGAATCAAACCTTAGGGTGTTCAGTAGGTACACACTGACATCCTGTTTCCCGTTTGTCATGCTTGTGTCTGTTAACTGTCTCTCCAGTAACTACGGGCCTACGATAGCGGTGCAGAGCGAGGCACAGAAGCAAGGCTGTCAGCAGGTCCTGTGGCTCTATGGAGAGCAGGAGGAGATCACTGAGGTCGGCACCATGAACCTCTTCATCTACTGGACCAATAAGAAAGGAGGTTAGGTTCTTCTCTGTCATCCTTCACATCTTCCTGGGGTTTCCTATCTGCTCCTGTTCTCTGTGGAAATATTTGACTGCTTTGTTGCTAGACACTATAAAAATATGCAATGTGTGTGTTTATGTCTGCAGAGAGAGAGTTGGTGACCCCTCCTCTGGATGGTATCATTCTCCCCGGAGTCACCAGACAGTCTCTGCTAGACCTGGCCAGAGCCTGGGTAAGATGACCAGAGAGGAGACCAAGCACAAAGGATCATGCATATTTAAAGCAGCTGTAACTGGTTTTGCAATAGCCTCATTTCAAATAACAGTCTAAACACAGTAACAACGTGAAAGGGGCCACCTTTTACAGACTGTCACTTGAATCCGCAGCTCTTTACACTAGAAAGATTTATAGTGACTTGGAGTTTTCAGACTTTTTTGGTGAATCATAAACCAGAGGTATTTTAAGGTTAAAGTGTCTTGGTGCTCACCTGTTATCTCAGTAGACGTCACCTGTCGTAACTAAGAAATCAATTTTCCTTCAGTCATTTAGTGTATGCTGTGTGTATTTACATTCATCACCCTGGTATTCTCAAGGGTGGATCTCTGAACATGACTGTTCAGAGATCCACTTTGACATGTCATCTTGACTTTTGTTGCATTTCAGGGTGAGTTTAAAGTGACCGAGTGTACGATAGGCATGAAGGAGCTGCTTGGGGCTCTGGATGCTGGAAGGATCCTGGAGGTGTTTGGAGCAGGGACTGCCTGTGTGGTCTGTCCTGTCGACAGCCTCCTCTACAAAGGAAAGGTGGGAGCTCACCCTTTGTGCACGTTTCTCAATAATTAGTTTGGAACCTTCAATTCTTTGATAGTGACAGAAAGCAGTGGAGCATTGGAGCCCACTGTAATCCAGTTAGGTGCATATAGATGTACTGATTTTAAGTCATTCATGCCAACAGTACTGGATAAAGGACTCAAATGTAAACATCTGCGCTTGCTTCTGTCTTTCTCTCAGACGTACCAGATACCTACCATGAAGAATGGTCCGGACCTGGCAAAGAGGTTCTACAAAGAGCTTACTGACATTCAGGTAGGTGTGCTTAAATTCAGCGGTGGTTTACACTCAAGACATTGCTCTCAGTTACCAGTTTATGATGTACACATAGATGAAACTGATACATTAGTCACAAATACGTCTCAGTAATGGTTTGAGCAAAACCTGAACATTATCTGCTTCATGAGGGAGCACTGTATCATAATAAACAGTATATAATTTTCTTAGTGTCAATGACAATTTTTCTTTTAATTCTTGCAATTATGAGATCCTGATCTCATAATTAGGAGAAACGTTGCAGAACTTCCCTGAAAATCAGATTTTAGCTAATTCTTTGTTTTAAAGTAATTCGGCGATATGAGTATAAGTATGATCTGTTCACATGATTTGAACTTTTAACATCTGTGACATTTTCCAAAATACAATGCAAAAAAAAAAAAACATTGGTACTTGAGCTTGTATTCATTATATAGATAGTCTATAGGGTCTTGAATATCAGGTAGCCTATAATGCCTGTCATCTTAAATAGCAACCGTAACCTAGCCTGATATTAATTCTGACAAGAAATGAGCAGTATAGGCTATGTAATGTTTCCACGGATGAAGCGCCTCACAATACGGGTTGTAATTTGGGTGCCATTTTTAGCCTAGGCTGTATTTATTTATGTGTTGGATTAGCTATTAGCAGGTCATTTTGCTGTGTCGGATAAATGGTTTGAGTACTGTTGGATGGACTGTCCGAACTGCGTAAATACTGAAGAAACCTTAAAAACCAGATGTTTTTCAAGCAGGTTCTGAAGCTTTCCAACTCCTGCTCAGTACATGTATATGTTGAGTTAGACTGTAGGCAGCCACTTTGAGGCCCATTTTAGCCTATATTTGTTTAGGTTTTGGAACATTAAGTAGGTTGAATGACCTATTAACAGTTCGCCTTTGCCATGTGCTATTGGAAGTAGCGACAACTATCACTCAGTTACTTTGATACTAAAGAAAAAGACCTGATGATTTTCAGGCAGGTCCTGCAGAATTCCAACCCCTACATTATCTCATAAATACGAGATCCGGATCTCATGATTTGACAATCAGGATTTCATAATTATTAGTCACAATTATAAGATCCTCCAGTTTTTTCCTTCTTTGGTGAATGCAATGTGCTTCCATAAAACATTTCCTGCTGTAACATTTATTTTTCCTTTTTTCCCCTTGTTGCTGCTGTTCCCTGCTTCACCCAGTACGGACACAAGCCAAGCGAATGGGCACCTCTGGTCGTTTAAATGGTCATTTTACACACACCAATCATATCAACAGTTAGTCTCATAATTCCACTTTGAACAACAAGTAGCCCCATCTACCCCCCTTTAACCCGCTAAGGCACTCCTGCTTCTTTACCAACCTGAAGAGATGGATCCTCTCAGGTGGCTTTTACAGATGTTCCTTTGTCTGCAGACTGGTAGGTCGAATGTGACCATTTGCTTTGGAAAGCAATATTGACGACGATATGCAATGCAATGATCTTAACCTCAAGGTATGTACTAAAAAAAAACTGCTCTCATTGGGAAGAGAAAAACCAACCAGATCCTAAGATAATCAAAACAAAGATGACACATGCTTGGTGGTGATATCTGTTACACTAGCATGACACAAGTGTCTAGTTTAAGTGTTTGTCCTTAAATCCCGCTTGGATTAATTCCTTGTGATGGCAGTACTCACGGTTAATAGCACACATTCATTTTCATCAGCAGTGCATTCTAGCATTAATGAAAAACACAAAATGACAGTGCAGTAGGTGAAGTCTTTGCAATACTAAAGCAGCTGTGTATTTGTGTGTGAAACGTGACACTAGACGGCATTATACAAGTGCAGTTTTCATCAGGAAATGTATTTTTAAGTATTGTGCAACAGAAAAAAATGTAAATATCCTGTACTACTTGGAACAACCTGTGGTGTTTTCTCCGAAACGTATAACTGTTACATGTGAGTAGTTGAACTCGCAACGTGAATACGTGTAAATTAATCACAGAACATCCAGTTACTGTCATGTACATAATGATCAGAGAGAGTACTGGGGCCATGTCACTTTGACACCAGAGTTTGCACTGACCATGGTTAATGTCAAGTAAAGTGAGTGTTTCACAGGAAGCGGCTTTTACGTTTGCTGGTTTTGTCTGTTTCGAAAAGGACTGCACAAAACTCGAGGTGAGGTCTAAGTGAACTTCAGCATGCACAATGGTAGGATGACAGTAGCGCTACATGCCGCAGATGAGCAGGACTCTTGGATGCTGGCAGTTTCTCCTGCACAAGTTATGAAAACGATGTACAGTAACATGTAGATGGGTTTCCTTTTTTTAAGAGTTTTTAAATTATTCATTTCCTTATCTTAATGTGAAATTAGGTCAGCTGTCTTCCAAAGTATTTGACTGTCACCAGTGTTTTGCTGTATTCCCTGCTTCCCTCGCTGCTCTTCCTCCCTCTCGATTTACAGTGGAACCTTGGATTGCGAGTATAGTTCCTTCTGGCAATGTGCTCGTAATCCAAAGCAAATTTCCCCATAAGAAATAATGGAAACTCAGATGATTCGTTCCACACCCACTTATCCATATAAAAATGATTACGGTGATACAAAATACAGTATAAAGTAAAAATAAAAATAACCTGCACAGATGTTGACTATACGAGTGAAGCACAAGACCCATCGGCTCAGTTGACGTACGTCACGTGACGCTCAAAGTGTACATACTACTCATTGCGAGACCTTGCTTGTATATCGAATCAAAATTTTTTGCTCATCTTGCAAAACACTCGCAATCCAAGGTTCTACACTATTTTTGACACATACTGTACACCTGTCCATCTCTTAAGTGCCTGACAGTCTGTGAGCTTGTTTTCTTGTGGGTCTGTGGTTTGTGCACGAGGTGATATAGCTGGATTCTTTAAGTTTAGCTCCTTATGTGCTGTTACTTTTACTTGGCTGCTATGTTTTTACAATAAACCTCATCTGAGTGTCTTTATGTCATCATGGTGGTCTCTCACTGCAGATTTTTGTCTGGTGCCCGACAGTTAAGGTTTTACACCTTTTTCCCCTCATCATTAAATGAAGACATTTCAAACAGATACCAGTTATGTAGTATGAAAAATCTTTGCTAATTGATGAGATAATTATTGGCTTAAGAGTACAGTACCCAGTAGAAACACTAGTTAAACCCTATGAAACAGATGGCATGATTTGTTAGTGTGCCTCGCTCCATACGAGCAAAACTTTTTTTTAAACTTTGCATGATGTCCACTAGTGCTGTGATATGCACGGATGGATTAGTGAACAGGCCTAGCTAAGCTCACCAGCTGCTGACTGTTGCCTTGTGTGCCCACCAACTCAGCTATCAATCTTCTCATCTAACATTAGCTCCCTACGAAATGCATTTACCAAAATGTCATATTCCTCCTAACTTGTACTGTAAAACAAAAACGTCTTGTGCCATTTTACGTAACAGTTTAATTGCACTGGAAGGAACGTAAACAGTGTTGTCAACAATTTACACAGCAGAGGTACAGATTACTTGTGGATTAATGAGGCTGTTCCATCATTGTAATTATACTGTGAATGTTATTCCCACTAATTTATATTTTGAATAACCAGACAGACGGGACCCAGGAAACACTTTGTCTATGAATATAAGTTTGATAATACTTTGATAATAATTTATATCACTGGTAGTGACAGGCATCAGATCCTTATTGATCCCAAGAAACACCCCTAGATAAGAAGTTCACAACTATACTGACTTCCATGTAAAAGGTACAAACACCCAGGAGTAAACTGTGTTAGCAGGGTGGATCCAGTGTTTAATCTGACAAATTACCCTGAACTTGAGGACTCCATTTTTTAGCAGCAATGGTAAATCTATAGCCTACTTCTCCTCGCTCTTTGGGGAGATTCCTTCAAACAGTGCCAAAGTGTGCTGACCCAACGGGTTGTAGAGGAAAGCTTCGATTTCTCCTCCGCCATTGCTGCTTTTCTGGAAGTGGATTTCCAGCGTATCCTGCAGGGTCTCTTGCTCCATGACGTCAGGGATTCCTGTCAGCAGCACCGTCCGAGGACACGCCAACATGTTGGTCTGTCCACACCACAGACAAGATGGGAAATGTAACTTTATCTTGACTTAACTTATACAATAAGAAATATTATATTTCCAAAAAAACATTTTAGAAAGTCTGCTTTTTTCCCCTGCCTTATGGATCATGGCCTCCTGACAAATGCTTACCTTCAAGTTTGTAATCTTTCCATTCAGAAAAGGAGTCACCCTCACTCTGTGCATCGTTTGTAACTTCACCTCATGGTATTCTGTAGAGGTCAGTTTTTTGGCAACTGAGAAAAGTAGAAAGATTCAGACCAACTGTCAATGCATTTTGCAATGAAAAAATAACTTGTTAATTTTTTTTGTCATTATCTAATCACTATCCTGATGTATTATTATACTAATAACCTTCAACTGTAACTATATTCCATCATGTCAGTATGAAATATGCAGATCTGAGTTTTCTCACTGTTATTCTCCACAAACGTGAGCACCACGGTCCCAGAGTCAGGCAACATCTCACAGTCTTCCACCTCTCCACCTCCGTGTTTTCTCTTGGAGAAGTGGATCTCTAGTTTGTTCAACAATGCCTCGGTGTCCATCTTGGGCAGATTAGAGATTAAAATGCGCTGAGGGCAAACCTCAGATTCAATCTGCAGGACAGACACAGGCACAGATCACTTAAAGAAAGTTAATACTGCACCTGAGCAGGCTCAAAAAGAGATTCCAACTCTGTTGTACCTCCACCAGCTGGGGTAGCAGCAGCTGAACTGGCCTGGCCTCCACCGTGATGCAGCACTCTCCTCCCAGATCCACCCGATGCTTCTTCATGTCCAGGATGTTCTTAGCCACTGATGGCAGGGTTATTCAGCATCAGACATAATAAAACAAGGCAGTTTCCCTTGCAGACAGGGTATTAAGAGTTTAAAACTGACCATGAGAAGCATGTTGTTGTTGAAGCAGTTCCCAGAGGCCCAAATGTTTGGTTTGTGCTGATTGACATGAGCCACAAAATATGCACCTTTAGATAAAACAACAGCCTGAAGGTGCATAGTTACCTAATCTCTAACATACGAGCCCATAGTCCTAGTTCATCTTGAATTGTGTCGAAAGTACAAAATCCATCAGACTGATTAGCACAGGGGACATTAAGTGCTTGCCTCTGGTAAGATGTGCCAAACTCAAAATTTCACAGGGCCACTTCCCAATATTAAATCTCAAGTTCACCACTGAAACAAAAATACTCATGCATTTACAGAACTATCTGTATATACAACCAGTTATTACATGAATCATATTGGCATTTCTAACCACTCCACTGACAAAATCCAACACAATGACCAGACAGTGCCCTCTAGTGGTGCAATCTGGCCTCTCATGCAGAGCTACTGTACATTCATACATTATCTGTTTATCAAGAAGCCCAGTCTTTTGTTTTCAAAGGCAATAGAAATGAATCATTGCATTATTAACTTAGCTTTTAAATAACTAGGCCTAGAATCAAACCTATTACAAATGCCCTCCATGGTTTGGCTCTGTTAAATATTGATAGACTTTTAATTCCTATTCTGCACCAAAGCCCCTCAAATCTGGCAACCACATTAACATTTTCAGGTTTTATGCTTTTTCTGTTTTAGTTAGAAACTCTGCAGAAACTCCCTCTTTGTATGAGATTATCTGTGGTTCTGTGTTTTATGTGTAACAACTGCAACAAGGTGAAAGGTGCTGTAGAAATAAAGACTCACCCACTTGCTCCTCAAACGTAATCAGTGCCGTTCCACCGTTCATTGGGTAGACTATATGCGACTCCATTTCAAATGTCTGGGTGTCACTTGGGTTTCCTGTCGACCCACGGAAGACGACACTCCTCTCTGGCACAGCAGTGAACACCTGAAATTGACAGGTACAGGTTTACTGAGGACAGCCACAGAACAGGCTGCAGGTGGCCTTGCCTGCTGAGACTGCCGTACATCTGTCTGCTGTTTCAGATGGGAGTTGTTGGCCTCTTCCTTCTTCAGAGCTGCCTCGACTTTCTGGAGCTCCTTGATTAGTTCAGTCTCCTCCTCCTTCAGAATCTGCTGCCTCGCCTAGAAGACAGAAATTTAGATGATCACTACAGTGGTAACCATATTTACAATATGAAAAAGCCTTTTCATAGTCCTTTATCTATTGTTCCTTCTTTATAATACTCTATTTTATGAAGTAGTCATGGTTGCATATATGACTAAAACAGGATATAAGAGAAAGCAAAACTAAAAAAAGACTCAGCTTCAACTCAGAGTCCAAGATGTCATTCATCACATCAATTCCGAGTGAACTATGAAGGCGTTTGACACGTTTTTTAAACTAATTATATGCTTTGATTGTTGTATGACAGTGCCCCCATCCATGGGACACAAGGGGTCACTGAACAGTTTGATGAGGCTGAAAATGATGTGAATCATGTGCTACAGCCTTCACAGTCACCAGATCTCAACTCAGTTATATTTTGTCTATTTTTTATACTTTTTTTAAATCATATTTTGTGTTGACAAAAAAGGCAGGTTTAATGACAGTATGCAGACTCAAGTGAGGGGAATATATTTCTTGGTTTTGGTCCAGAAATGGCCACAGACATCTTTTGTATTTTTCTCTGCTCGCTAGGGGTTTTCAAGTGTGATGCTCTTCTGGTTACACCACAGTCAGCAGGATGAAGGTACAACACCTGGGCTGGGCTCAGGTGAGCACAGAGAAACTTCAGCAGGTGAATGTGAAAAGACCTTCAGCCTGCGTCTCTTGAGGTATTCCATAGTGGATTTCGAGGTATGTTTAGGATCATTGTCCTGTTGTAGAAGCCATCCTCTTTTCAGCTTCAGCTTTTTTACAGATGGTGTGATGTTTGCTTCCAGAATTTGCTGGTATTTAGTGGAATCCATTCTTCCCTCCACCCGTGCAATGTTTCCTGTGCCACTGGCTGCAACACAACCCCAGAGCATGATAGATCCACCCCCATGCTTAATAGTTGGCAAGGTGTTCTTTTCATGAAATGCTGCTCCTTTTTTTCTCCAAACATGCCTTTGCTGATTGTGTCCAAAGAGTTCTATTTTAACTTCATCAGTCCACAGCACTTGTTTCCAAAACGCATCGGGCTTCTGTAGATGTCCTGTTGCATACTTCAGACGTTGGATTTTATGATGGGGACGCAGATAAGGTTTTCTTCTGCTGACTCTTCCATGAAGGCCTTGTCTGTGCAAGCATCGCTGCACAGTGGAACGGTGCACCACCACTCCTGAGTCTGCTAAATCTTCCTGCAGGTTTTTTGCAGTCAAATGGGGGTTTTGATTTGTCTTTCTGACCAGCATACGAGCAGTTCTGTCCGAGAGTTTTCTTGGTCTTCCAGATCTCATCTTGACCTCCACAGTTCCCCTGATCTGCCATCTCTTAATTACATTTCTTACTGTGGAAACTGCAAGCTGACAACGCTTTGCTATCTTCTTGTAGCCTTCTCCTGCATTGTGGGCATCAATAACTTTCATTTTCAGGGTCTTACACAGCTGCTTAGAGGAACCCATGGTTGCTGGGTGTCCACAAGTGTGTGCACAAGGTTTGAAGAGTCAAAGTATTTGTACAGCTTTGAAATTGGCATTTACCAATGACAGCTGTTGCTGTGCATCAGATCTAACGAGCTGATTAAGGTCTGATACCTTGTGAGAGACTTTGAGACTCTGGAACTCTTAGGGTGCCCAAACTTTTGCACCATGCCATAATCATGTTTTTATTTTTTATTTTTGTTCAATTTATGGCATAAGAAGTAACTATGCATCACTGTTTGCAGAAAATATTGTGCATTTTTTCCATTTCCAAGAGAAACTGTGTTAACATCTGTTCAAATAAAAAATCACCAAAATCTGTTATTTATCAAGGGGTGCCTAAACTTTTGCATAAGACTGTACATCATTCTGCACTGTGGAGCTCAAATGTCTGAGTGAAAAGTAACTAATCAAAAAACCAGAGGTGGGTGGAGGGTTACATAAAAAAACCATACCTTCTCATTTACAATCTGCTGATTGTGGGAGAGCTTGTCGTCTTCCAGAGTCTGGGCCAGTTTTTCAGCGCGCTGCTTGAACTTCAGAGTCATATCATGCACGTCGTCCCTAGCAGCAATCAGCTCCTTCTGCTCCTGGATCAGCTGATCATATTTTTTCTGTGGATACAGAATTAAAGCTGTGTCCATTAGGTCTGCAACTAACAATCATTTTCATTCTAGATGTCCATGGTGACATCTTTAAATATTTTGTTTTGTCTGACCAATACTCTAAAACGCAAAGATGTTTAGTTTACAACTGCAGACTTTATCAGAATTGCTGTTGATTAACTGTATGCTGATTGGTTTACTGAATAATCATTGCAGCTCTTAATTCAATAAATAAGATTGTGACAAAATCACACAGATCTCTGGTGCATCCTTTTAAAACGGGCATATTTTGTCATCATTGGAAACATTGAGCTCTCCGTTGCTTTTAAAATAAATGAGAACGTTTGAAGGTTGTCCAACTGACGGGGTAACAAACAAGCACATTCAAGTTTTCCCTATAAAATTTGGTACTTCATTTATTTCAAACGAAATATGCCAAAGCACAGAGCCCGAAGAAGGAAAATGTGTTATGTGGTCTGGACTAGAAACCTATTTGTTCTAGGAACCTTCTGATTTTTCAAAAGAAAGTTGTAGTTTTCCCCTAATTTATAGTAAAAAGAAACAAACTCTACTTTTATTATGTCAATAATATTTCTAAACTGTCAGAGGTGTCAGTTAAACTACATGTTTCAGGACTGAGGTGTTGTTATACTGGACTTCATATTATTGTTTGTAAAACAAAGGACAAAACAATTAGAAATACATCTAAATATAATGCAGTCCGGTGCATCAGCACCTTTAACTATGGCCTCAATCATAAACATATCATTGAATTTACATCAGTCACAAAACATTATAAATGTCCCATAATTAGAATATATGCCAGAACAGTTGCACTGAATTGCAAAGGATTGCATGGCTGTACCTAATAAAGTGACCACTACATTGCAAGCCACAGTGTACGAGTCTCAGGTAAATCATGAGTGTTTGTGCACCTTGTACTTGTCGATTTGAGCCTTGGTTCCCTCCAAGGTGTCCTCGGACATGTCTGGGTTCACCAGAGAGATTTCCTAAAACACAAGGACACACAGCTGTCTCTCAAACAAAGCGGAGGATAATAAACATTTATAATCTCAGGGATGTTCTTAAATTAATCCTTATCGGAATCCTGGACGCATGATGCAGAGAAGCTGTGACAGACATTTTAATGAGGGTAAGTCAGTCTCAGAAGCGAAAGTGATACTAGTTTTATGTAACGAAAAACAAACAAATGTTTCAGTGGGTCAACAGAGAGAAAATGCCTCTAACTGGAATATTAGGTTTACTATGTAAAATGTTATGTATAATATTTGCTTGTATAAAATATAAGGAAGAACAATGACGCCTTACCTCATCTGAAGACATGGTGAAAGTAACCTGGAATCATTCACAAAATGGGTTCAGGTGTTGTCAAAGTGGGTTTCACGTGTGTTTAGGTAGGTCAAACAAAGACGGTGCCACCAAGAAAGACTTCATAAAACTAAGCAGATAGAAATGTAGTGTAGGGCCTGCTTTCGTATAAACACACCGACTTCCAATCTTTTTAAATGGCCTAACTCCGGACAACCTGCACAAAACAAAAAATGTTGTTCAACTTATAATCCAACTACGCTGTTAGTGTTTAACCAAAACTTAGCTTTTTTAAAATTTTGTATTAAATAAAGACTTGAGTGTGAACTTACCTTCTATCGACGCCGAGCTCACTCTCATTCTTTCAGTTTCTATTTCTCAGCAGAAGGAAGCCGACTGACCATGGCAGCTCTCCACTAGGGGGCGGTGCAAGCCACGTGATGCCTTCAGGTGCTGTCGAAAAACTGACTTTTCGCATTACATCGGCTGCCTTCAGTATCCAACATCAAAAGTACCAACACAGTCCTCATTCTGCAAAATGTCCCATCCCACATTGGTGCGGAGAGTAGAATTTTACTATTGCAGTTGGTCGAGTGAAGAGAATTTTAACCTAATATAGTTTATAAATATGATCATGTATGTAAAATCATACTCTCAATGTAGCCTGTAGCACAAGGTATCAACTACATGTCATGAAGTTAATACTTGGCTTCAAACACCATGGTGGAGGTATTAAGTAGCACAGAACAGGCCCTTTTTAACAGACAGTTGGACGTGTCCTAGAAATTACACCTGTGTTTTTCTTACTAACACTTAACATGACTGCATTTCATTTATGCCATTTCCAGGATCGTGGTATTGTGCATGTTTGTTTAGTGGGACACAGAACTTAGCCATGGTTGTTAAACAGCTGCCCTTTTTCTACTGATAACTCAAAATGTCTGCTGTGTAAAAGGTCTATTTGAACACCAAAGTAAAATACTAGTACTGCAAAGATGTTCTACAGTACAGTACTTAATATAGCTTATTACTTTCCACCACTGTTCACCAAATATGAAGTTTAAGCCACTCAAAATTTTTTGTAGTTAGTCTCTACAATAAATATACTCATGGGAGATAAATTTATTTAGTACAAAATAAAGTGTGTCAAAAAGGAGCCAAGAACCAAATTCATTTTTAAACATTTATTTGTGAAACCAAGTGAATTTAGAATCTGAGCTTCTGGAAGAACCACTTGTTCTTGCCCGTCTTGTACCTGGAAACAAAAACAAAAATTTAGCACATTTTCTGTGAAAACCCTGGAGGTGGTCTACATTTTCAGTACAAACACTCTCCACTTCACACAGCACCAATCTGAACACTACAGCTGTCATTACTCACAGCTACAGTACTATACTTAGAACATTTACCCTATAAAACTCCTGTCTGACGTTACTACACCTGCTACACCCTACCGTTTGCTAGCTAGTTATGCTTTTCCCCAGAAATGCAGCTTTCCTATGTTCTCTGTTAATACATCCATGATGGTTTCAGTGTCTTCACCGGCAGCATTTCAGAGCAGAGAATACTCTTTTTTTTTCATGATTTTTACTTAGCAATCTTTTTAATCGTTCAACTTTGTCTGGGTGGTGTGATCAACTCAAAACAGTTATTTCTACTTTACCCTGACTTTAAGACTGTATTGCATTTTTGGATGAGATGTTTTATATACGTGTTCTCAGTGAACTTCAGATGCCTAAAAGCAGAACATGTCACATAGCTACAGTTATCAGCAGCCAGAAATGATGTCCTCGCCATATGTAACAACATTTACATCTGTTCTCAGGAAGACAATTCATGTAAGTCAGACACAGTGTGTGTGAACACAAAATGCTGTTGGAACCGCATGGAGTCGGCCGGGGCTCTACAGGAGCATTTTATCAAAGACCACTGTGAGATAAGAAATATGGTTTTGGTGTTTATGGAGTGGCCTCTCCTGTGCGTTGATGTCTGAACAAGACATCAAGCTCCCACACACACAGGGGCTGTCGCAGCAGTGAAGACAGCAAGCCCAGGAGAAGTGAATCTCAAGGACAGCTGCAGTGTGAAACTCAAGGATCATCAAGCCATGCTTTCTGCCCCACTCAAAAAAAAATCTGAAACGATGAAACGGTCTAACTCCACAATTCCACTCTACATAGTTCAGTCTTTTCATGTTTTGAGCAACTATTTTCTAACACTGATATGTTTAGCAACAATTCACTGATTTACCCAGACTTTAACTGTCTTCATTAAAATCTGAACATAAACACCATGTGATCTTAAAGCAAATGGGCAACTCACCTCTCCTCAAACTTGATCTTGGCCTCCCGCCTGGCTTTGCGCTTGAGAGCAGGATCCCTGAAGACGTCCTTGTTGACAACAGTTTTGTCCAGAGGAATATCCACAGAGTATCTGAAGGAAAAGGGGGCAACAATGAAAAGCGGTTGAAATACTTCGGTTTCCCTGCAAAGGGTTGCTCATCAGGACCGCTCTCTTCAAACAAGACCAAAGCTGGAAATAATTCCTG